ATGCTTATAATCCCAGCACTTGGGAGACTGAGGCAGGAGGATTGCTGCCAACTCGAGGCCAGCCTGAACTGCATAATGAGATCCTGTCTCTAAATAAATAAACAATCGCTTCTTGGCCTTTTGGCTAAGATCAAGTGTAAATAAAATTTTTTTTTTTTTTGGTACTGGGAATCGAACTCAGAACCTTGTACTTGCCAGGCAGGTGCTTATGCCGCTGAGCTATATCCCGGGCCCCAAGTATAAATAAATAAACAAATGCAACAGATTTACTGCTGAAGGAATCAAAGCTGCTTTACACTGTGGTTCTCACACCTTCATGGAATTCATAATTACTTAGCTTGGAAGTCACTGATTCCTCAGCCCTGTCCCTGGAGCTTCTAATTCAGCAGGTATAGGGTGGGCCTTGATATTTGCATATCTAACAATTTCCCAGGAGAACACCTTCGAAAACCATTTTCCAGCTGTTTTCCCAGCCTCCAAGTGAGTGCCACCAATCACAAAGAGGAACTTGAAGAATACCGATAATATCTATAGTATAATGTATAGCTGTGTTCATTCTGTTTCTGTTTATTTATTTATTTATTTATTTATTTTGGTTTTTCTCCAGTACCGGGAACCGAACTCATGACCTTGCGCTTGCCAGGGAGGCGCTTTTCTGTTCATTTATGAAACAAACAGCCTCAAGTCACTGGGCCTCATTCCCAGTCCCCAGCTTGAATCCCGTAATGGAAAGAAAAGAAGGATTGGAGCATTAACACAATTGGAAGTTGAAATTGTCACACCATCATGGAGACTACGTTACTGACGGGCCATAGGGGACCCTTATTTAGGCATTTTTGGTATCCCACGAAAAGTACCTTGAGGTTACCGCAGCCTGAAGAGGTCAATGAACTTTTTTGTTTTTCCATACGAGGCGTTGAACCTAGGCCCTCATGCATGATAGACAGGCACTGCAGCACTTATCATCATCTGCTCTCAGGACTTTGGTATTTGCTGAGACTGCAAAGGTGAAAGGTAATGATATCTGTACACAAATAGCTTATAGGACTATTCTCTGTTGTTTGTCCAATGTGTATATCAATAGTCAGGAAATAGAAAGTGTTGTCCAGGGTACACATCAATATTCA